AGTCTCTGTAGGAGTTTAACACCCGTGACCTTACTGAGGATGCAGGAGCACAGACAGCACTGTGGGAAGTAAATGCCTCAGTATTGTTGGACTACACGGTTCCTGGTGCAATAGAAAAGGAAAAGTTAAGTAGAACCCTTGACATGTTCCAGAATTTGGGGAGTCTGTAGCACTTCAAACTCCAGATGAAACACTTTATAAACACCATATGATTTATGCTTCCTGCCCTCCTCTGCCTTTCCACAGCCTGAGAGCGTGCATACACCACAATGCAGCGCCTTGTTACTCACACAGATCTTCACCATATCGCCAAAAAAAGACCCAAACAAATTCTGCATAGCACAGCTCAGCTCCCCAGTGCAGAATAGCCACAGCAATGTCCTGCTGCCAAGCCCTGGCAGAGAGCTCAAGAGAACATTCAAGGAACGCCTTCAAGGAACCGAGGAAAACTTTTAACACCTGACAAAGCCTGAAACCACGTTTCAGCTACTATTTATGGTGTATATTTGGTGTATATTATGGGGGCTGAAAGGGATGAATAGCAAATAGAATCCTAGAATGGTTGGGTTGCAAGGGACCTTAAAGTTCATCTAGCCTTCCAGTACCTGAAGAAAACCTAACAAGAAAGATTAAGAGAGGCTATTTACAAGAGCACGCAGTGACAAGGGGAAATGGCTTCAAACTGGAAGAGAATAGGTTTAGATTAGATGTTAGGAAGACATTCTTTACTGTGAGGGTGGCGAGGCACTGGCACAGGTTGCCCAGAGTGTCCAAGGCCGGGTCGGATGGAGCTCTGAGCAGCGCGGTCTAGCGCAGGGTGCCCCTGCTCACGGCGGGCGGGTCGGAACCTCACCGTGCCACGCCACTGACCGCCCTGTCGCGGTGCTCTCCGCAGGGTACGCGGGGTCCCGCTGCGAGGAGGACATCGCCGAGTGCCGCAGCAGCCCCTGCCTCTCCGGCGGCCACTGCCTGGAGCGCTCCTGGGCCGGGCTCTACGGGAGCGTCCCGGAGCTGCCGCCGGCCTTCCGCTACGACTGGGCCGAGGGATACATCTGCCGCTGCCCGCCGGGATTCGCCGGTAAGGATCCCCCGGGTGGGATGCGGGTCCCGCGGGGCGCAGGGTCCCTCTGCCGGCAGCGCGGCCGGTCGGGATGCTCCGCCGCCTACATCAGATACAACCTCCACTTGGCGCGCGTAGCTCTGTTCTTTAGGGGGAAACAAACAAACAAACAAACAGACAGACAGACAAACAGTCGAATTTGCAAATAAGCATAATCCAGAAGGGGATACATTCAGACTTGCTTTTGCCACAGCCAGCGCTGTTTAGCACAGTCGCAAACCCGTTGGGTTTGGATTGTACACTTCTAGGCCCATCAACTCCATCTGCTTGTTTCTTCTGAAGGAAAAAAAACCCCCAATTAACAGCTAGATTCATATAACCAGTTGTCAATTTCTCATTCTATTCATCTCCTGAGCAGCTTATAAACTTTCCTGAGAGTTGCATGACTGCTGTCTCCAACATAGCAAGTACTAAAGTACATGGAGACCAGAACTTTTGCTTTGAATTCCCTCTTTATTTTTCTTCAAAGTGGCATTGAGACTTCTTTGCTTTTGTTCCAGCCCTTCCCCTGAACTGTCCTTCCCTATCCTGTCACTAAGTGTTGCTGTTGTGCTTTTGTTCTGCCTAAGAGAGCATAACATGAGGCTTCTACTAAGGTTTTTGGTATCTCCCAGGCTCTCCTAAGCACCCTTACCTCTTGTCATGCCACCTCTTTCTCTTCACCTCCTTCCAGTGATGTCCAGATTTCCAGTTTCTTTTCCTTCTGTTTTGTCCTAATTTAAAAACTTCTAAGCTCTGTGAGACAACCTGAAAGGTATTTCCTTGTTTAATCATCATCCTTTATCCTCTTATTTCCTTATCAATTGCCTTCACCTGGTTTGTTTGACTAATTTGGGTCATGATTCTACTACTTTCATTCAGATGGAGTTCTCTTACTCCCTAGGCAGTATAGGTAGACTCTAACAGTCTGGAGGAAAAGAGTGTAAGAATGTACTTTAATCTATTAATCTTGAATCAATTTTTTCAATCCTTAAGTTCCTCAAGCACAATGCAAGACTCTTCAAAGTATGACTGAAAGTATTGGTGACCCTGACATTTCTGCTGACTTCATATGCAAATTAAATTACATTTTTAAAAACCTTAAGTAAGTTTAGTTACTCACATACCTGTTGGATGCTGGATATATAACTTTCATTAGAAAGAAACCCCAAAATAGTTATTCTTACCAAACAGTGGACCCAGACAGCTAGAGGCAGGAAGATGACAATCCTTAACAGGGCACAGTGGTAGCAGTAACACTGCACATTTCCTTCTGGCCCTTCTCCTTTCCCCAGGTAACTTGGAAATGTTTGCCTCTGACCAGGAAAAGTAATTTCTCCAATTATAGCCAAATAGTAAATAAACCACAAGTTTTAATGAAAATTAACAAAGATTTAAGATTAGAGTTGATAGCAGTAGTATGATTCAAGGTAGCAGGTCAGTCCCTGATCAGGACCAACCAGTATATGGGTTCTTATCTAATGTAGATGAACTAACAGTCACCTGGAAAATAGGCCAGATTGTTTCATGTGGATATCAGTGTATTTCACTGACACCACAAATGCTACATTTCTGCAGCTGTAGGGCAAGAGTTTTTCCAGCCCTAACACCTGAATAGTTGCATGTGCTTTAGATATAACCCCTCAGATTCCTCTTGCAACAGGACAGAGATTTTATTTAGTAAATCACATTCATTTTATTATGGCTCTTTCCTCAGTAAAGCATTCACATAACATTACAATCATACTTCACTGATGGAGGTAATATGCAGAAATAATAATCCACATACCCTGCATTGTGAAGGCCTGATCTAAAAGCCATTTGAATCAATGAAAGGTGTAATTAAACTGAGAATGGTTGCCAACATGTAACAAGCACAAACCAGCATCTTTGAACTTACTGGGTAAGATTGCAAACAAATTGGTGTAATTGAATTAAAAACTGAGAATATCTACCTTTTGGACTATAGTTTTAGACCTAAGGGCGGGAGATAATGAAGCCTAAACACACACCTGTGTCAGGATAAATTATTTCCCCACCAAGCTGCTAAAAAGGAATAGATATTACCTGGCAACATCTTGTTACAGATAGTGATTGTTCAGGTGACTTGAAAATAGTCCATAGTCCTGCTGAAAGTCTTGAAAGGAGCAAATCTGCAAACAAAATTATTTACACAATTTCATTCTTATAAAATAAAAAAATAAAAAACCACAAAAAACACAAAACAAACAAACAAACAAAAAACCAACCAAAAAAACCCACAAAAAACCAAACCAAACAAACAAAAAAACCCCACAAAAATAAACACAACCAAAAAAACCCCCAGCTAGAAACTCTTTGAGGACATTAGTTATATGCCTTATCCAGATCTGAAATAGAAAATTTCTGCATAAGTTCTATGAAGGGTTAAACTTCTCCAGCTCCCTTTTAAATCAAAGGGTTTGGGGATACTCAGATTTCAAGAGGTCGAAGTACTTCTGCAGTAGCAAGCCCTAGATTTTTTTTTTATATTACCTTGGTCTGCTGGCCCCTAGCACAACAGTACTTTTAATAAATTGGGCTTTCATTTAAAGTCTTGTGATTTGTTACTGCTAAAGGCAATAGTTACCCTAGAACTGTGTCCTTTCATACTGTGGATACATTGTATTGCTCTAGCACTGCACATTTGTTAAAAAGGGTGTTATTTGAGAGGTTAAACTTTTCACTTTGCTCATGAAAATACGTGAGAAAGGAGGAAGGCAGAGCTATGGATTTGGTAGTGACTCATTTCACCAGGTTGTAATAAACTTAACACCATGTCAAAATTAAAGAGCTTCTGAACTTGCGAGGTCTACCAAGTGACACAATCCATCATGGAACTGAGCCCAGGGAGCAGCGACTGTGCCAGGCAGGCAGGTCCTGCTCCCTGTGCCTTGAATGCTGTGCTGCCCACGGTCCCAGCAGGGTGGGACAGTTCTGCCAGCAGCAGTGAAGCTTATTTTTGCATCAGCAGAACAAGGTTAAGAGGAGCAGAGCCCACTAACCTGGCTGTAGCAGCGTGCCTGCTGCCATGCAGACGAGTGCTGGCTCCTCAGTGCCTTACCACTGCTGGTGTATCGTCATCTGCTGTGTGCCAGCTGTGCCACCAGCACTGCTGCCTGCTTTGGCACTATGAATTCCTAAATGGGCTTTGGCCTTTTCGTTTACTTGTCTTGTTTTCTGGTTTTCTCTTTTAAATATCCTTGGCCCTTTTCCCAGTCTGTTGGACTAATGCAAGAGAAAATGATATGATCAGACTGGTGTCGTATGGGTATTGAATTCCTGGCATATGCATGGGAGAAAGAAACTGTCTCCCAGAGCCAGAAGATGAGGCAGATAAATGGCCAGTATGGGAGAGTACCCAGCACTCAACCAAGCAAAGAAAACCTCCACCCAGACAGTGAACTGTGAACATCACGGGACCAGTACTTGAAAAGTGAACCTTTTGGACTCTCATTCTGCACTGAAGCCAGGGTGACAGAAACATAGGAGCACACAGGGCATCAGGCTTCCATTTCCCTGCATGCCTTTAGGTGCTGCTATGGGCAGAACCACCCAGCAGACGGCAGGACAGACTGTCTCAACCAGCCATCCTCCTCTCCCCTGGCCTGTCACAGTATGGTACAGACAGAAATATTATTTATGAGTAGGATAGTGGGCATATTACCACTAACTAACTACCACTACCTGGGAAACCTAAAATACATACATATATTTTTATAATTATAAAAATAATTATATATTTTCTTTATTTTTAATCTCTTTCCTTACCACAATCATACAGCTGCTGTCCTTAGATATATAAAGCAATGTGACTTACAAAAATGAAATCAAGGAGTTGAATAGCAAAGATCTCACCTCCAAACTCCCAATTATATTTTTTTCCTTTATTTCCTTGTCTGTCCTTCAGCTGTTCACACCATGGTAGTCAATCATTCCTCCATTAACCAGGTTAATTCATTTTATTTCATGACCTGTCATCACAGTTTAAAAGGTTATTTTCTCTTCATTCTGAGACTTTAGAATAAGACAAGGCTGTTCAAGGAAAGAATGAGAATAAAAAAGCAAAAGACAGAGAGAAAAAATACAATTTTCAAGTTAAGAAGCTTTCAAGAGCACAGGTCCTCTTTTCAGTGGGACTCAGGCTTCCCCTGCAAGCAAGACAGGCATGCATATTCAAAATTAAGAGGTTTGGAAGTACTGTTAGCTAACTAATCTTCCCATACAAGCAAAGTTTCAAGAAGGAAAATGTTGTTACCATCAAGTACCCATTCAAAGTTAGTTAATGCTGCACACATGAAATTGCTGAAAAACAGCGTTAGGTCTTGAGATCTCTTCCTCTGGGCTTCTTACCACTCTGGAACCTCTCACAGGCTATGTTTGATATGCAAACATACACCTTTGCTGCCCAAATTCGGTTCACAATCAGTACAGGATCCCTTTTTTGTTAGTCTGCTGTGAAATGCTCCCTTACAAAATCGGCTCGGTGGTATCAGGCAGTTGTGCAGCAAAACATGAAGAAGTGTAGCTGTTTTCTGAGCATGGGAAAGAAGTTATTGCTTTCCTGGAGAGATTTCTACAGTGCTGCCCCATCTCTGCCCCAGCCTCTGTGATCTCCATGTATTCCTGTGTTCAAAAGCACACGGGGAAGGAGGAGGAGGACCTCTTCTCACTGCTCCCAGTCAGTGTCGAAGCTCCAGCATTACATGGCCAGCCCAGTCAAAGGCTGTACCAACACAGGATGCCCTCAGGGCCTGGCAGGCACTTACTGCCTGTAAAAACCCTGCACAAAACAGACAATTAGGACTTTAAAGTACTTTTTCCATCTCTTCTAAAGCCCCTGATCTTGAAAGAACATTTGGACAAGCTTTTAATGATTCTATCCACTAATACCATCTAACATTTCTTCTATCAGTAGCATCCTGGTAAGGAGATGATCACATTGTCAGAATTGGTTCTTTCTCAGTTTGCCCCTCTACTGTCACAGAGTTCTTCCTTCTCCCTTTTATTCTTAATTTTTGGAAATGGTCAGAATACTCTCTTTAAAAGACAAAGTGTATCCTTTAGCCCTGGTCTATGGTCTACTCCAGGGAGAGCCAAATGCTTTCAGACCCCAAGAATGCAGCGTTCTCAGTAGTTTCTTGTTTGTTCCTTTATTGAGGATCAAACTGTTTTCTTTGCAATAAGCATGAACAATTTCTCACGTGCCTAACTCCCAGACCAAGCTCACTGTTAGGTTAGTCTGATTAGTCTTTCTCTGGACACTCCCCAGAAGGAAAGCTGAGGCTGGGTTCACAGTTCACGCACTCTGTAGGGTAATGGCCATAAAAAGGCAGCATAACTCAGAACATTGTGAGCAGCACTGAAATTAGGCTATAGCTGGAAGAACTTATGAATTTGCCATTCTTTTATCAGTTACCATTGGAAAACCATTGGAGCATTCCAATTTCATTTCTACTGCAGGTAGTGGTCCTCTTGAACAATTGTAAGAAATACCATTTAGTGAAAGAAAGTGTAATTTTTACGTTCTTCCACCATATAAATCACCACAGCAACTAAGACTAACTTGTGTTTTTCATGACAGCTCTTTCCTTAACAGCCCATATCTTGAGACACTTTATGAAAGCCTAATAGCTTTTTTTTTCTTTTGCAAAAATTAATCTTCTTATGACTTACCTTGCCTCCTGCATGGCAGTGGACTGCGAGAGCAATTGCTTAAATGCACTGACTGTAGTTGTAATGATTACTTATCACTGGTTAAAGAATTCTGGCTTAGTGAGAAGCACTTGAGGAAAGAGCAGCATATGTCTTTAAGTGATACTGATACCACCTGATTACATTTCTGTATTTACAATGTTCTGCAGCTTGGGTTTCGCCTCACTAAAATCCGAACATTTGTGTAAGCATTATCCCCAGTGCAGAAAACACAGAATGAGGTCCAATACAATCATAAGGAATGCCATTACTTCAGTGAACGGTGGAGTCTCACAGCCCAGGGAGGATGTATTTGTACATCATTATCAGATCCAGTTACCTTATTTAATGTGCTCCAAGTAGAGACTGAAATAGTTTCAGATCCTAGAAACAAAATATGCACCTGGCACAGGCATTAACTATGCAGAGGACTCCTTTTAATGAAATAAAATTCAGCCTTGTTGAAAATTTCAGCTTGTTGCTATTATTCATATTGTACAAGGGAATATTTTGACAGAAGAGTATTTTTACTGGTAATGACAATCTATGTTAAAATTATGTGAATGCTGAACCATGATTATTAGGAAATGAGCTCTTGGGCTTTTCATGATAAGTCTTTACAGATAGTTCCCAAACCTGGTTTGCAACACTGAGAATGATACTTAGAGCCCTGATATACCTATGTATATTTTTTAATGATAAGTATGTATTACATGAGAAAGTTGCAAGTTGCAACTGGAAACGCGAAGAGATTGCAGCCCTCTCTTCTGCATTATTCAGCACTAAAAGAATGCATAAATGTCAGATATTTTGGGGTGTTTTTTGAGTTAGAAATATATGAAATTAAAACATTAGGAAGCATCTACCAATATTATCTTTAGAACACGTATAGAGTTTTATTCTTTAAAATTTGACAGCTGATCCATCATTGCTATGATCTATTTTCTCTAGCTGCACTGATATGTTAAGTTGTATAATGGAGTCCACTGTGATTGACAGAGCCTGCAAGCAGTGGATATTTTGAATCTGGCACATCTCTCTGTGTTAAACATTGTTGCACATAAACACTTTTTAGCATGGAAAGCTTTTTTTCCTTGAAGGGAAGGAGGAGGGGATGAATGGCTTTTAATCCATAAGCTCCCAGATGCTCTGCAACACACAGACAGATAACGTCCTTAGATTTAACAAATCTGTTTGTCCAGTACCTGGTAGAAAATGCTTTCAAAAACAAACAAACAAAAAAGGCAGTTGTACATTGTTTGGCAGTAGGATAATGCTTTCAAGTACCTATTATTTTCCTGACTGGTGGGTCATTCCATCATATGATTAACTAGTTGTTAAATCTAGTCTATTCAGTAAGAATTTTCCTTCTGGTGTCCTCTTCAGGCACTGCCTACTTTCTTTTTTGATTTCTTTCTTAAATTTGTGAATAAACCTTTACTAGCCTTTTTAATTGGCATACTTCAGATATTTATATTCTCCTCTTGACTGAGCTTGTGAACCTGCTCAGATCAATCTTTCCCTGTGGAAGAATCTCTCTGGTCTTTTCATTTCTTGCTTGTTTTCCCCCAGACCAACACCTTGCTCTGCATCCCATGGCAAAGACAATCACTAATGAAAGAAAGTGGTCCCAAACCCTGGTGAAATCAAAGGTATTGCACAGAGTAAACTGACAGCAGAACTTTGCTCATCTTCTAAAGAATTTGATTGTCCATCTCAGCAGCTACTTTACAGCATGTGCTTTTTAGCACTGCTTTGTGTAAGCCTACATTGCTCTTGTTGAATTACAGTCAAATTGCAAATTCAGGCAGATGCACAACTTTTCTCCATTCAGAAAGGAATTTTCTTTAAATCTACACATCATACAGCTTTCACTAGTCTAGAGAAAGTGCTTAACAAGTAGGCACTAATAGAGGACTTGTGCTATGGGACTAATGTATTTTACTTTCTCAATACATTCTAATTTATGGAATATTTAAGGTCAAATGTCAAGCGATAAACAAAATGACCCAATTTAATAGTTCAATGTTTTGCTCAACAGATGATTTCAAAACCAGCCTTAATAATGTCACCATTGTGAACCCCGTTAAAATCCAGTTTATTGGAAATACAGTAAATTATACAACCAAACATTTAAGAGGCATTACTTCTCTCTCCTTCCCATAACAGAGGAATTCAGGAGTGACATTGCAGAAGCTGGAGGAGTTCAGTCAGAAATAGGACATGGGCTAGTAGTTCTGAACCATATGAATGTACGTATAAATGTGTGTTCACACACATATATGTGTTAATTCACATACAAATACATATATGCTACTACTTACACAATACTACTTCAGAGTACTTTTTTGCTCTGCTTTTAGAAAGCCTTTCTGTGATCCTTAGTTAAAAAAGTCCACAATTTGCCTCTTTTCTATTTTGAAGGGCACAGTTTTCTGGTTGGATTGCTTTGTGGTAGAAACAAAAGATTTGTCTTCATTCCTTGCTGCAAAATTTGCAGCATGCCACGAGTATGCTGCTTAATAAGCAGAGTTTATGTTGGTCTCCATTACTGAATAATTATTTTAATTGCATGGCTTGTGGCAGTGGGAAATGCATGGCGTTTGCATGCCAAACCTGTCTATATTTGTTAGGAAAGCAATATTGACCTACATTGAAATAAAAAGTTAAGATGTATCAGAAAACTTACTCAAAGTATGCAGGCTGCTGTTAAATTGCTATGGCATCAAATATAAATGGTATAATGCCATTCATCACTTCACTCTTGTATAGGTTACAGTTTTTATGTAGTTTAGCTATTCTGTTTTCACACTTGCAGATTTTTACATGCCTTTGAAATACCATTTCTCACATATAAACCTCCCCAAGTAACCCACAGCAGTGGGATGGCATTGTTTGTTTACTCTTGGTAAAATGCCTTGCTTGGTGAAATGCTATCTGCATTAATCTCCTAAAAAAGTATAAACTGCCCTAATGTGTGAAAATACGCAATTTTTTTAAAACTATTATCAGCATTTTGGTACCAGCACAGCTCTGGGAGTTCTGAGAAATAAGTTCCCTGTACACTTCTGTTCCTGTGAGCCAGTAGAGGGAGCATGAAATACTGTCCATGTCTAGCATCTGCTAGACATCAGCAAATTCTAGCTTTAGCTGATATTTCAACACTGTCATTACAGCCTGATCTGGAAGATGCTATTTCTCAAAGAATTTGTGATGAACACTGTTTGCTAATCCAAATTCTTAGTGTAAATTTTTAGCTTTTGCACCACACGATTTGATT